TACAGCTTTTCTCCCCCTCCCCCCAAAACTGCCACCAACAAAAAACCAGCAGCAGAGGCTCTAGACTTTGCCATGCCTGGCTTCTGGGGGAAATCTGTTTCCCCCCAGGGGAAAGTTTTAGTGTCTTTTATGTCCTTTTTTCTGTCAGCTGAGTCTAGAGAGTTAAATAATAAAATAATAGAAGTTAAGGTATGGATATGTGGTTGAAAGAACTTCTGAAATCCCATGACATAAGTGGCTTATATTTTATGTCTTGAAGTGTAGAAGTCCTGTTCTTCTGAATGTACTGTAGTTAAAGTCTATGCCCATCAGTGTTGTAGGAGCTTAGAATACCGATGAGCCAAAGGTAGAGAAATTAATCAAAATTAAATAATCTTGTGTAAATAAAGACTGCCAAAGTATAATAACTTATGGGAAAATAAAGCAATTTAAAGAATGTATTCTCTCATAGTAGTTCATTTTCAATATATGTTTTATAAGGCCTTATCACCATAATTCTACTCAATTTACTTACCATGTACTAATCATGCTATGTGTACTCCCTCAATTTGATTTTTGTCTTTAGGTTAACGTACAGAAATTTTTCTTTTTAGGATGAAGTAAGAGAAAATATTTCACGTGGAATGGCAATTTTAGGTCCTACGTTTACACTGGATGCACTTGTGGAGTGTCTTGTGATCGGTGTTGGTACTATGTCAGGTGAGCAATAAATTCTAAAGGTCTAAATCTTTCCAGTTAAAAAAGACTATTTGAAAGATGTTGGGATATTGAGAGTTTCAAATAATAGGTGTTACCCACGAGAGTGGAGTGACTTAATCTATTTATTTAGCTATTTATTTACCTTCCTAATTAGCCTATATTACTAGTTTCCTGCAGATATGAATAATATGTACATGTTGAAGAGAAGTTTGAAATACAGATAACATCTTTCCTTGAGCATTATGCAGTAGGAATGGCCTTCCGTGCAGCTGCTTTTATAAAATTAAGACCTTCTATTCCCATCATTCCTGTTAACATCTTAAAAGTAGCTGCTAAACTTTTTTCTTGGGCATTCTTAAAAATGAGTTAGACTTTCAGTACATGCACACCTATTTTATATTCTTGCACAAAATTAGTCTTTCTAAAAATTACTACAGGTGAGGAAAGTTACTCTAGTTCAATTAAAAATAACCAATCTTTTACTGTTTTTTTTTTTTCCCCACCCCATCTTTTGATCTTCATCAGTTTTGTGTGCAGTAGCAGTTGTCTTTCCTTAGAAAGAGGACAGTTAAATGTAATAAGCGAAGGATTTTCATGTGTAAATAACTGATTTCTTTGTAAAATAAATCGAAGTTCCATAGTTAGGACTAAAGTGGTTTTTGTTTGCATGTTTGTTCTTGTCTGTTCGTTTTTATGTGGGGTTTTTTTTAAAACTGTCTTGCCTACCTTAAAGGCATCTTTCAAAGCACCTGCTTTTCAAATTGTTTAAGACCTTTTCAGGGTATTGTGTATTAATAAGCTGTTTTCCTGTTTACATCTAGGAAAAAAACCCTCATTTTGGTGTAGCATATAGTTGGTGGGTTTGGTTTTTTTTTTTCATGATTTATGCTCTTCGCTCTTTTATCTTTAATAAGGCAGTTCTGTAATGCACGTGTGACATGGCTAATTGACTTTTTTCAGATACCAGGCTTGCGAAAGAGTAGGTGGAGTATATACTGTTTCTTATGGCCTGAACACTTAATTGGCCATCTTTCAGAAAGGATTTCAGAACATAATGTTGGCTAATTGTTCTTTACTTAGACAAGTGAGGAGTTTCAAGCTTTGGTGTGAAGCTTTAACATCTTGGTGAACTGTAATTACTTGTATTTATTTAGAATTACACTTTAGAAGTTTTCTATAAATACCATACCATAAATCCATATTGTGCTTAGAATAAGCTAATACACAATGACTAGGGCTTAACATGCTTGTTTGTCATTAATCTAGACAGTTCTCTCTGTAATCTGCAGTGTCAGTTTAATGGTTTCTTTCTTACTTCTGCAACACTTCAAGTATATAGAAAGGCCATTGCATATTCAGATGTAAAAAATGTCTTCTTTTTTTATGTAGGTGTACGACAACTTGAAATTATGTGCTGCTTTGGCTGTATGTCTGTTCTTGCCAACTACTTTGTCTTCATGACCTTCTTTCCAGCTTGTGTGTCCTTGGTGTTAGAGGTAAGACCAACTTCAAGACAACATCAAGGCTAGTATTCTGACCCTGGGCTTCTTGTAGGCTATACATTTCTTCGTGGAGTAATAAGCCAGCACGTTTGTCTTCATTTCAAAATGAACAGAGGGAATGCGCAAAAAGAGTTACAGTGGCTCAGCTGATGACAGTAACTTGTTAATGCCACTGTAAATGAGTCACACTCAACAGTATGAGTTCTGATCTAAAGCAGAGTAAATTGCTGGCTGTCCATCCAGGGTTTTTCATTATTTAAAGTCTAACGTGGGCTAAACAGTATATTGTAGGCTAACTCTTCTGTTGGTAATTGCTTAATGATCGAATGAAAATACAATGTTGAAGCTCACTTTTATTGGTACTTCTAATATGTACTAAATAGGACCTATTTTTAAATTTTGTTGTTTTTGCAGCTTTCTCGAGAGAGTCGTGAAGGGCGCCCTATATGGCAGCTTAGCCATTTTGCTCGTGTTCTGGAAGAAGAAGAAAATAAACCAAATCCTGTAACACAGAGGGTCAAAATGATTATGGTTTGTGGCTCTTTTTCACCTGTGGTTATGCAATCAGTAAGATGTCCTGGTGCGATGAATCAAACGTTTGTTTTCTATAGACTTGTATTCTGCACACCATTAGTCTAGTTTAATAACATCCCCTGTATCTACATCTGAAGTCTTCCTGCGTATACCATTTCTGTGCCAAACGCTCAGGGCTTTTTCATGTGTACTAATTCCCTCCCTCTTAACCCCTACAGTACCCTCAGCTTTCTTTTCTTGTTACTTGAGTAAAAGGAAAGATGTGGTGGGACAGGTTCAAAGCTATCAGTGTCATGATAGGCCAGAAAGGGTGTTGATGAGAGGTGTGGAAAATCAGCCTTTAGCTTTTGACTTTTGAGGCGTGGGGAAAAAAAAAAAAAACCCCAAACAAACAGAAAAGGAAAATGTTTAATCTTAGTAGCTTAGATAACTAGTTAAGAGTTGAAAAATTAATATTTGTTTCGTTGTTTTGTGTTTTTAATACAGTCACTGGGTTTGGTTCTTGTTCATGCCCACAGTCGTTGGATAGCAGAACCAGCTGCTCAAAACAGTACTGTAGAAAATTCAGTGGGATTGGATGAGAATGCACCAAAGAGAATTGAACCTAATGTTTCATTATGGCAGTTCTACCTTTCTCGGTAGGTAACTTCACAGAAGAGAAGTGTGTTTCCTTGATCAGGGTGTATTCTCCAGTGCTGCCAAGCTATGGTCCTAGGGCACAACACTTGTAAACGTGCAGATCTGACCACTGTAGGATTTTGTGGAACCAGAGATGACATTTCATAAGAAATGTTTCAATATTATGCTATTTGTCTAATCTCCTCAAAGTACAATCGAAGTAATCAAGAACATGATCAGAAGCCAGCTGTCCTGTATGCATCAAAACACTATCTTTTCCCACTAGCACTGACACCTTTCAGAGCACGCTGGGAAATAAATTTTCTGACTGCACTGGAGTAATTACTTATGCAGAGCTTCTGACCATTCACACGTAAGTGCCAAAAGTGCAAAAGCCATGTCGCTATTGCTTTGCCTTCAGCTTAAGTGAAGTTAGCAGCATCTGTGGTTCCATATTACTTCTGAAAAATCAGAACTGTCTGTTTTAGAGGTTCCTCCCCCGTCTCAGCAATTCAGCCTTGCATTACAGTAGTCATTATTGGTAGAGGGTGATAATTGAAACTTTCTACTTTATCACTGGGAGATAGGTGTTAAATCAGTTTGATGTAGCTGTTAGATAGTGAATGTTCTACAGTCCTTTCTCTTACTGGGACTGCTTTTTAGCTAAGATATAGTAACTATTTAACAAAATCTGAAATCCTATGTTGTTAATAATACAGAGAATGATTTCTCTACCCTAACCTAGCATACTTAAATGTCCTGGTAGAAAATGTCTTTTGACTGGAATTTCTGTAACTGTATAAATTATGATGAAACTATTACCCTTTCTAAAGCAAAGGGATGTCAGAATGCTGTTACAAACAACAAACTGTATATACCGTGTATTTACTTTTTGATTTGTCTGTTTTAGAATGGCCAGTATGGATATTGAACAAGTAATCACTCTGGGATTAGCCTTTCTCCTTGCTGTCAAATACATTTTCTTTGAGCAAGCAGAGACTGAATCCACTCTCTCACTGAAGAATCCCATAACATCTCCAGTGATGGTCCAGAAAAAGGTCCCTGAGAATTGTTGCAGGAAGCAATCTGGACTTCTGAAAAACAATCAGAAATCTAACACAGTAGAAGAAGCTTTAGTTTCCAAAGATGGAAATGGTAATTTTTAGCATTTTAAAGTCTGAATTAAATTTAAATTCCTGAATATTTGGAACAAATAGTGAAATCTGTGTTAGCGTGTTGTATTTGGAATCAAAACTTAAGAATTTTGTAAACCAATGTTCATTTTAATTGTCTTTTTGCAGCCGAAGTCATAAAACCTGTATTAGCAGAGCCATCAACCAAGGCTACATTTGTAGTTGGCAGTTGCAACCCTGTGGAAACTTCTTCAGTTCTTAATGGAAAAGAGGAAGAAACTGAGTTACCTAAAGAACCACGTTCTATTGAGGAATGTGTTTGTATACTTGGAAATGCAGAGGTATGGAAAAATAACTTGTGGGGTTTTTTAACCTCTACTGCAACATCTGATGTACGGATTCCTACAGTTCATTTTCCAGCTTTTAAATGATCCTATTGATTGTAATGTAATTCTTTGGAAAATTGTATTTTAATAACTTGGGTGGGGGGTCATGACTAAAACAAAACCCTTTCATAGGTCACCTCTCCTCCAGTCAGTCGGGGACGGGGGAGCAGGTTCATCATTCATGACATACCAAGTCACTGAAGCTTCATCATGTATGCGTATACCTGGGTGTCTGAGTAAAAAATTTTTGATCATATCGGGCTTACTATAAAACCTGACATTGGCAGTTGGTTCCTTTAGGTGTACTCTGAAGTGTCAAAGTAAAGTTGTTACCCTTTTTCATTTGGAAACGTTTAAAAGGATTTTCACCAAGACAATCTGTACTTTCTCTCCCCACCGTTTACATTTCCAGAAAGGAGCGAAATTCCTTACTGATGCTGAGGTTATCAGCTTAGTTAATGCTAAGCATATTCCTGCATACAAACTGGAAACCCTGATGGAAACTCAGGAGCGAGGTGTGTCCATTCGCAGACAGATGCTATCTAAGAAACTCCCTGAACCTTCATCTTTGCAATATCTTCCTTATAGGAATTATAATTACTCTTTGGTAAGTAAAAGGCAGACAAGCAAAACTCACTGCAAAACCATTTTCCAAATACATGAAGTACATGCTCAAAGTGATGTATGTGAATTAACAATGACCTTGGTCAAAACTGATGTAGAAGGAAGAAAAAAAAAGGCAAACGTAAGGCACTACCTTTTATTGCTCTCGATGTTTTTAAACCTAGAGAGGTGAGTAAGTTTTGTAGCTTACCCAAAAAATATTTCTTACCAAAGTATGCAGCTGCCTTATCTCAGAAATGCAGAATCCTACTAATACTGATCCTGAGTTCAGCTGAATGATACTACTACCTTGAGCTCAAGTTAAAATGGAATTTTATTTAAAGTTCATTTAACAGCATTAGGGTTTTTTTAATAGTGTTTAAGACTTAATAAGATTCAGTATGTCTGCCAAATACTAGATTGAACAGTATTGGCTGTTGATAGCTGTAACTATTAACCTTTTGAGGTGGGAATTGGTTGCTTTATGGGTAGGGTTGTGGGTTTTTTGCTAAGATACTTTGTTGTAGTCACAGGCATAGTATGTAACGTGCAGTACCATACCACTGCAGTGTAACCTTAATGATACCTTTTGTATTATTTTGGTAAGGTTATGGGAGCTTGCTGTGAAAACGTGATTGGATATATGCCTATTCCTGTAGGCGTAGCAGGACCACTATTTTTGGATAACAAAGAGTTTCAGGTGCCAATGGCAACAACAGAAGGATGTCTTGTAGCAAGCACAAACAGAGGATGTAGAGCAATATGTGTAAGTATTGTTTGACTAGCTTGAAAAACTTTCTATATTATAAAATATATTTGGGGTGATATAAGGTGTGTTTTTGACTTCCTAAAAAATAAAATTCACTTTCAGTAATCTTACTTTGTTTCTCTTCTGCTTTAATTTTTAGCTTGGTGGAGGAGCAAATAGCCGTATTCTGGCAGATGGGATGACTCGAGGACCTGTTGTAAGGCTGCCCACTGCTTGCCAGGCTGCAGAAGTGAAAGTTTGGCTTGAAAGCCCTGAAGGCTTTAAAATAATGAAGGAAGCTTTTGACAGCACAAGTAGGTTAGTACAATGGCCATTCCAGCTTTATTTCCTGACGTAAGACTTCTGTGGATGTTAGAAAGTTCCTAATTGTTTTTTTTTTGGCATACTATAATACATGAAGTTACATCTTCATTTTGGCTATCCCATGTAGTGTGAATCTAAGAGAACAAAAGTCACTCTGGCTATATAGCAATGCTAGTAATAAACATTTTCCAATACAAATACATTTGCGTTGTGTAATACTTAGTACATTATTTATTTTGCCTAAGCATTTAAAAATAAACATAAAAACTTATTTGGATTTTTAGTAGTTACTATGCAAAAAGTAATTAAAAGTTTGGAATCTAGCCTTTCAGATGATATTACTAATGTTAATAATTTAATTTGTGAGGTTCCAGAGAATACAGGATAAACTAATGCTGGAATCGAAATGCTAAAAAATGTAAAACAGTATTAAGTCTATTTCAAGCCCTAGAGTTTTTTTCTAAGACCTATGATTACCTGCTTTCTTTAGGAAGATTCAGAGAGAGATTTCCTTATCAGTTTTGTTTCTTACCAACCTTACAAGTGTCAGACAAGGACATAAGTGTATTTCAGCCAGAATAAACACATGCTGCTGTTTAAATGCAGTATTTCCTGGTCTTTGACTTGCGGAACTTGCTCTGTTGTAGGAGATAGCATGGGTTTTGCCTTGCTGTAAAACTGACATAAGAATTTCCAAAGGCCTCATTTTTAGTTTATGCCTGGTAGTCAGATGTTTTAAGGAATACAAATGAATTAAATTTATGTTAACACTTCAGGCTATTCTATTTCATGAAGTCCAGGGATATAAAACATAAAAGGCAGTGAACACTTTTACAGTGAACATTTTTAAAGTATTTACTCGAGAAAACTATGTGCATGTAGCTGAAGGTTTTTTCCTGCACTGAGGGAGGAGGAACACAGTGTAGTTAACAGCGCTGTCTGCAATGATTTACTGTCATTTTGCTACTTAAAACTAATTTAATCTTTTCCCTTGAGGATGTAAGTAATAGTTAAATTTTCTTGCAGGTTTGCCCGCCTACAAAAACTTCTCATCAGTTTGGCTGGTCGTAACCTTTATATCCGTTTTCAGTCTGGAACAGGGGATGCAATGGGAATGAATATGATTTCAAAAGTAAGGACCAGTCCCCTTAAGTCTTTTTAATAAACGTGTATTTCTTTTAAAAATAAACAAATTGTAGCCTACCAATCTCTGACTACGTGGCATGTGAAGACAGAAGATAAGACACAGTGCTGTTCACAGCGCTATAAAATAATAAAAGTGTTTGACAAGTGTAAACAAGAATAGGATGAGAATGGTGAAAGAAAAAAGTAACTTTGTATTTTAATTTTTTTTATTATTTAAAGAAAGTATTCTTGATAATATGGAAGTTAAGCTGGTTGTTCTGTTTCTTTGGGCCAAAGATTTTATCCAGCAGTAATTAATCTGTTACTGTGCTTATCACTTCCGTGTAAATAAAGGATTAGGAATTTGGTGAATGGCAGCAGAGGGGTGTTCTCTAGTTTTGTTTGGTTGGTTTTGTTTTTATGCAAATACGTGGAAGAACCTGAGACATGATGCATGAATTGGGGGGATGCCTTGTGCTGTTTGAGATTTATATAGAATAGGCAATCAGTATTAAATTTAAGTCTATCAGAACCATTACATAAATGGTCTGGTCAGAGACAGGTACTAAATATAGCAGACCTTTTGTCTGATTTCCTAGTGTAGAGCAGCTCTTTCCGCTACATCCAAAATGAATTCATTTCATGCCTGTAGTGTTTGACTTGGTTCATGTTGTATCTTCGTTATGGTAAGCATATGCCCATTCACCTAGAATGTATCCAGAGCGTCCGTACGTACTGGGAAGAACCAATTATTCCCCATATAATTCCCAAAGTGGTTAGAAAAAAGATAGTAATAATCGGGGTTTTTTCTTCCTGTTTCAGGTTCCTTCCTGAAATTATGTTATTTTCTTCAGGTGTAACTGATAATCTGATTAGACTTAATATAATCTTGCTGTTCCATTGTCCCTGAGTAGCTTGTTTTGCAACCATAATGATATACTAGCCTTTTATCTGTTTCTCTTCTAACAGGGTACTGAAAAAGCACTGGCAAGGTTGAATGAAGAGTTTCCTGATCTCCAGGTTATAGCTATTAGTGGTAACTATTGCACAGACAAAAAACCTGCTGCTATAAACTGGATAGAAGGAAGAGGGAAGTCTGTTGTCTGCGAAGCAGTCATTCCAGCCAAGGTTGTTAGAGAAGTAAGTGTCCGCTTTCTTTTACTCATTTATAAGAATGCGTACGTTTTACAAAACTGGTAGCTATCTTACATCATAAATATCAACTATAACTTGTTTTCCAGGTAAGATAATTCCTACATGTATTTTCAGATACTGCTGTAGGATAAGCCATTTTTCCTGAGACAGTAGACATTTTTTCCTTTCATTGTCTCTTCTGACATAACATACATATATTTAATGATGCATATCTAGTTGAAGGCATTAGGTTTTTCACTTTTACCATTGAAAATTTATGCCACAGTTTGACAGATTTTTACACGTGGGGTTTTGCCTGTCATTAAACCCAGTCATTCTGATTATTTCACTCATCTGTTGTCTCTTGCACAAACCTGGCATTCTCTTCAAAGTTTATATGCCTCCTACTACAATGGAAACAGATAATCAAGTGCTTCACTTATTTCCAAAGCTACCTTAGCGTTTTGCATGATGAAGGGTAACCTTTATAACCAGTGCCAGTCCTAGCCCCTGGCAAACTTGTCCTACATCTTAAGAGCTATCTTAGTTTCTCTTCCACCTGAGCTCAGAAGACTGGCTATGTGTCTCAGACCAAATCCGTTGCCTGTTACCTGGTCGCCAGCACTGGCCATGAGAGACAGTATCCAGGGAGGCATTTACTACACCATACTCAACATAGTCTTCCATCAACTTGTTCAAGATTTTCTGAGTTGGTGCTTTGTTTGTTCCTTTGTTTTCCTCCAGTAAGTTATCCAGTCCCTTTTGTGAAATTGTGTAAACTTTTAGCACTAGTATTGCGGGCAGAATTCCACAGTGCAGTTACACCTTCTGTGAGAACTACCTCCTCCTTGTTGTTGATTCCATTTGATGATGCCCTGGTTTTGTACTGGAAGAGATAATTAAGACTTCTATCTTCATTCTACTGCTCAAGATTTTATAGCTCTAACACCACCCTTCCACCTTCCCAGCTATTCTCATTTTCAGACTGAAAAGTGCTAGTTTCTCTATGAGGAATGAGTAAAAAGGCTATTCTCGTGTGTCTGTAAACATCCTTATCTCTAGATCTTTTTCAGTTCTAAAATATCTAAAATTCGGGGTACAGACTTGGACACACTATTCAAAGTGTGTGTGCAGACTGGATTTATACATTGACATAATTTATGCCTTTCGGGTTTGCTTCCTAGTAGTTTCCTAATTTTCAGATTGTTTGCATTTTTACAGCTGATTCAGTGACAATATCTATTTAACTTGAGATTTCATTCCAGAGTAGTAATGGGGAGCCAATCCTTTGGTAATGGGCATGGATAGTTTTTAGGTAAATTTGGGATGTTTTTCCTCAACCCTCAGCCGTGTATATCACTACATTTACTTACATTCAACTCTAATACATAAACTTTGTATTTTTGTCAGTGTTGTAGACTTTGTGCAGACATCTGTCCTCAGTTGCTATTCCTGCCACACTGGAATATCTTAAGTTTTGCTCACAGCTCTTTTTTTTTTTTTTTTTTTTTTGTTCTCTTTGATCATTTTTATACTAAATTCAGTGTAAATCTCTTATCTGAAGGTTTCAGAATACAGTCAGTATGGAATAAATGTGCACCTTAATTTGATATTACTGTGCACAATGTTTATTTACCAATGTAACACAGTGGTTTGTGTTTGAACTCTTCAGTTTAGCTCCGTGTTCTTACGCAGAGCAAAACTGGGGAGGGTTTAGCATCTGGAGCAACTTGTGAGGAACGTTGCTATCACGTCAAGGTGATTTAATGGGATACTTCTGCCAAGTTGATGTTGTTTGTTTCATTCGGAAGATAACTGAAAATCTGAAACGGAGAAGATCGCTGGTGAGCTTTTCTTAAAGGCCTGTGCAAGTCCAAACCCTTTGCACTGACCTTTCCATTTCTACTTAGACAACGCAGCCTGCATTTGAAAGGGCTCCTTTTGAACAAAAATAAAAGTAGGTATCTAGGACAATGATTGAGTCAAATTCCATATGGAAGCAAACAAGGGGTGAGGGCTTATTAACCATAAACAGAGTATTTCTACTCCTGCCTAAGGAATGGTGTAGTAAAAGTGTATCATTTTGCCTAGGTGTTGAAGACAACTACAGAAGATATCGTTGAAGTCAATATAAACAAAAATTTGGTGGGTTCTGCGATGGCTGGTAGCATAGGTGGCTACAATGCACATGCAGCAAACATTGTGACAGCTATCTACATTGCCTGTGGTCAGGTAGGTTTGTTTTACACCAATTCAGATTTTCTTTACTTCAGTAATTCTTAACCAAACACTTAGTTGAGTGTTTTGGTTTTGTTTTGTTTTTCCTTCCTGATCTGAAGGATGCTGCACAGAATGTGGGCAGCTCTAATTGCATCACTTTGATGGAGCGAACTGGTTCCACCAACGAAGACCTGTACATCAGCTGCACAATGCCTTCTATAGAAATAGGAACTGTTGGCGGAGGCACCAACTTGCTCCCACAGCAGGCCTGTTTGCAGGTACAAATCAGAAAGTTTAAGGCAACTTAGCCTCTTGAATCAAAGCTCACTTTCATGTTGTGTATATTGTGTCCAGGTAATACGTTGTGGGAGTGGGGCCTCTTGAAACTTGGTGGATTTGACATGAAAATTTTAGAATTATCTACTGAATTGTTTTCATGTATCTAGTTTCTCAAGCTTAAGATGTTTAATATGAAAGAGGCTTAAAGCTAGTTGATTGGATATAATTTGGAAAGACTTTAATACTAAATTTAGCATAAATTTACTTAGATTTTATGGCATAATATCGCATATTTTTCTCTCCAGATGTTAGGGGTTCAGGGTGCAAGCCAAGATAACCCTGGTGAAAATGCCCGTCAGCTTGCTAAAATTGTTTGTGCTACAGTGATGGCAGGGGAATTATCACTAATGGCAGCTCTTGCAGCTGGGCATTTAGTCAAAAGCCACATGATCCACAACAGGTAAGAAATGGAAAAATTCTTGTCTTTCTCTGCTGTTTTGCCCTTTTTCCAAGTACACAGATTCAATAATAATTACGTGAATAATTCCAACATATAATAGCAGTGTAACATTTTAACTATCTAATGTAGTTACCTTACTGTTTTTCTTAGGTCAAAAATAAATCTACAAGATCTTCAAGGAACTTGCACTAAGAAGGCAGCTTGAATACTAAAACAGCTTTGAAATGAGGAATTGTTCTAGCAACTGACCAGGTGCACAAGGAAGAAAAAAACCTGTGACGTTTAGAATGAAAATCACCTTCAACTCAATGATGTCTGTGTAAGATAACTGAGAGATCAATGGACTTGTGTGAGACTACTTACACCTTTGACCTTCTTCAGTGGTTAGAGATGACTTCATGAAGGAAGTCCTGCCAGATGTCTTGAACATGGCTTTGGAATTCTTAACTCTTAAACATCATTTTCTAAAGGGTCAGTCTTACGTTTTTACAGGTTGAGATTATTTTGACTGGTAAGCTCCTGGTAACTACCAAGCTGAAAAGTGATGTAATGTACTTTGTACTTTAAAAAAAAAAAAAAAAAGGAAAAAAAAAAAAAAGGGGGGGGGGGAAAGGGGGAAAAAAAAAAAGAAAAAAAAAGGTAAAATTTCTTGCCCTGAAGGTAAGAGCAAGTAGAAAAGACTTCTGTGCTTTTCCCTGTGTCTTGCACCAGTTTACCATGCCCTCAGAAACTTGGCTTGAATGCACTGGTCCTTGCCATCTTTATTTTCTGGCTAGACAAGCATGTTTTTTAAAGTGATGGCAAACCTAATCACTTTCCATGAACCCCAATTTTATTTTTGTTCACATGTAAAACTAGGTCTTAGGCTATAAGACAATTTTATTGAATCATACTAGTTTTATAGAAACCTGTGTCTATATGTAGTACTTAATTTGCTCACTGCTTCAGCTAAGCAGCATTCAATGTTTTAACTCCACAATTTAGGTTATTCCTTTACAGAAAACTTGTGACCTATGAAGTTCTGAACTGTTAAATATAATCTGTACTGAAGTAGGGAAAAACAGTGTCTTCAATGTTTTGTTATTTTGTTCAGGTAATAAAAATTGATTTTGAAACTGGTAACTCCAAAACCAGTTACGTGTCAAGACAGGTTAGTAATTTAAGCAAATGCAGTTTCTCAAACTTTTTTGATAGGAGTGCATTCAAACAACAGGAGTCAAGAACCGATGTTTACACTTCTTTTAAAAGATGTCTCTTAAGGTACAGTGTGTTTGTATATTCCTAATTTTTTTTTTTTTAGTGTTTGACGCTTGTTCCCCAGGAATAGGTGTGTATCCACTGCTCAAGCTGAGATAAAGTGAAGCCAGAAAATCACACTGTTCTTTAACACTAGGGGTTTTTATGTTTTAATTCCTTTTCAACTTCCTTTTTGAGGGGGGAATATTTATTTTGAGAAGAAATCTTATCCTTTTTTCAATGAAAAGTACTAATTAAGGGAATTCAGTGAAATGACATGTTAATGCAACAAGCAGTTTTTGTATTAAAATACTGTACTTGGACCAGTGAAGCAGTCTCAGGTGTTCTTAATGTAATACAGAAAATCCAGGTGTATTCTGGTTTGATTCACCTTTGGGAATATTGCTAAACGCATTGCCTTGCCTAGTTAATCACAGGAGGAAAATTGTTAATATGCTTGATGATGGGGGTTTTTTTGTTTGGTTTGGGGTTTTTTGGTTTTTTTGGGGGGGGAGGAATCAGTGGATTGGACTGGGTTTCTTGCTGGAATTTTTTTCATTCCTAAAGGGGTGACTAGCAGAGGTGCTCTTCTAATGTGCAAATTTGATATAAATCATGTGGGTTGTTTTGTAATATCATTGCAAAGAGCTCATAAAGATAATGTGCAAGCATGAAGACATACTACATGCTTAGATATGTTCTGATAGCATGTAAATACCATGAATGTTTATCTTCCTGCAGTATTGTTGCTAATACCTACCATTTTATTTAAGGAAAGTTGGAACTACTTTGTTTCTATGTTCATTCAGTGATCTTATTTGAAGTAACACTGTTCTGGCAATAAATGGTGGTTCAGTGTTCATTTTGGTGGATTTAACTGACATTCTGTCTTGCAGAATTAACATTTTGTATTATTACTAAAATGTGTACATTTTGGTACAGAACTACTTTTTCAGTTTCAGTAAAACAATGGAAAACGTATTGGCTTAATTGTGATATTTTAAGCTTATTTTATGAGTTAGCGACATACCTTAGTAGACAACGTAAAATAGGAGGGTTAAGGAAAATACAACTGGTGTACAGTACTAAACGCAGTGGGGCTGTGACACCAGAACTTCTCAACCTTGTTTGCAGAAGCCTGTACTCATTTATTCTCCTCAAAGCTGAATTACACAGTTTGCCCAGATGGGAGAAGTAATTCACTGGCACATTAGCCATACCTTCTGCTCGGGCCTATCTGGGCATTTCTCTTATCTTCCAGAAAACTGTTGAATTATACTTGCGGCAGTTTTTCACCTGTCTACCAAAGCCAAAGTTTCAAAGGTGCTTTTTAATCTGTTAACTTGCTATTTCAATCTTAAACACTGCTTTCACCAGGAAAATGTAATTTTATCAAAATACACGGTATTGTATATTCTTGCAAGACAGGTTAAGCTGGAAGAGTAAAATAACCTTTAAGTACCACGTCAAGAACTATGTGAAATTCTTATCAGAGCTTTTAATATCATAGTGCATGTTCACAGCAACGTGGTTAAGCTTTTAGACAGTACCCCACTACACATCCTGGAAACTTACCAAAAATGTCCCCCTCCCCACATCTTTTCCTCACCTGTAGTCCAATTCCCATGTTTGGTCTTGGTAATGTCCATCAGCCTACAATCGGACATACAGTGCAGTCTGCGTTCTTTTTCAGTGTCCTCAGACATACCAGAAGCAGAGGTTACCGTTTCATATGCGTTAGAACTTAGGTAACTGGAGGGTTCTTGTGTCCCTGCATGCACACTGAAAATTTTGTGTAGCAAGTACAAGAAACAAGTACTGTTTGTTTTGCATCCTTGGCAAAACCAAACCAGCTGTCTGTAATGAAGTTCTTAAGCTGAGATAAATTAAATGCTATACTACTACACTTGATAGAGTTTTCCAAATATTTTAAAACCCTAGAGAAAAAAATAGTAAAAATACTGTATTCGACCCTGGTAACAAGTTTGCTTCTCTCTTTACCTAGATGATCTCCTTTCTTCTCTGCGTCCTGAATCACCTTTACCCCCCCCTACACACCAGTCGCCTTCCTGCTGTCTGACATGAAAGTTTCAGAGCTGTCAGGCTTGGAAGTTTTGCAGCTCCAGCTGCGATAATTACACAGTTGTTGTCCACTGTGATTTCTCTCAGCCAGTGTAAGATGTTATCAGTGAAGTCTGCCTTACCTCATCTTCCTCACAGGACAAGCAGCTTCCGCTCGTGCAGCACAGGGATGCCAGCCACGTGCATGCTGAGCGTAGCTATGATACCAGAAGCCTGTAGCGGATGCGGCCTTGGTGGTGGGACTGGAGCATGCCAGCGAGGGCCCCAGCACAGGCATTGCTGAGCAGGCACACCGGTTCCCAGAAAAGAGCACGGCTGAGAGCCCGCTTGGTTTCTCAGAGGAGCATTCAAGCATATCCGGGCTCCGGGTGTGTCCATGCACAGCACTGTTGGGACAGTTTTCATCCTTGGCGTGAGCCCTGCTCGTAAGGTGAACAGCTCTGAGAAAAGCTGTGGTAGGTGGTCCGTCCTCCCACTTCTTTCTGCTGCCTTTTGGGGTGGAGTGAGAGCTCTTACTACTCACAGTGCTTTTAAGATACATTATCATCTCCATCTCTTTTGGGACGTGGCTTACCATTTTTGAGGCTGTGTCCTCTTCCCTCTCTCCCTTTGGCTTTGATTAGGGAAGGTTTACACTGCACAAGGACACCTGCTGAAGCAATGAGACGATGGTTTGGGCGTCAGGCTGTGTTACAGCAGCAGCTTCTCTTGCTCCACAGATCCTCTCTGTTGCCTCAGGGGAAGCTCGTGTTCCTGGCAGATGCATCTTGCCTGACACCAAGGCAATTACAGTGCTGTGCGTCCAGTGAAACTCCTGGCACTGACAGTTCTGTACCTCGTCTTCCTGCTTGGAGATCACTGCTGGCCCCAGGCTTATCTTGGTGTCCCTGCCTCTGGGAGGAGGCCTGCCTCTGAAGCTAGCTCCTCTCTACAGCGCTCTAGGGCTTTTGCAGTCTATTACACAATGCAGAATTACCTAGGGCTCCATCTTTACCACTGGTTTATGTTCAGTCCGCTTCTTAATCTATCCAGGGGGACACTAGGGGCTTTAGCCCCAGCTTTCATAGGTTCTTCCCAATTACAGAACCCAGCAGCATTCCCAGTAGGACTCAGGCTATCTAGAAAAACGTGGTAGGTTGACTCAGCTGCTTGCTCACCCCCCACCCCAGCAGGATGGGGGAGAGAATCGGAAGTGTAAAAGCAAGAAAACTCATGGATCGAGATAAAGACTGTTTAATAGGTAAAATGAAACTGCACATGCACAGCAAAATAAGGAATTTATTCACTACTTCCCATCAGCAGGCAGAGCCTTGGCACGCTAACAGTTGCTTGGGAAGACAAATGTCGTCACCACGAACGTTCTCCCTTCCTTCTTCTTCCCCCAGCTTTATATGCTGAGCATGACGTCATGTGGTATGGGATATCCCTTTGGTCAGTCGGGGTCAGCTGTCCCGGCTGTGTCCCCTCCCAGCCTCTCACCCACCTCCAGCCTCCTCGCTTGTGGTGGGCGTAGGGGAGAAAGAAGCACAAAAAGAAAACCTTGATGCTGGCAAACCCTGCTCAGCACTAGCCAAAACACTGGTGTGTTAGCAACACTGTTAGTCACAAATCCAAAACACAGCCCCATACAGGCTGCTGTGAAGACAATTGATTCCGTCCCAGCCAGAGTCTGTACAAAAGAAGAAAATCTACATCTTGGCACCAGTATCTGCCAAGATCCACGACCAGCTCTTAGAATCACAGAAGGGTTTGGGTTGGAAGGGACCTTTAAAGAGTCCCTTCCCCTAGTCCAACGCCCCTGCTGTGGGCAGGCACACTTTCCACTAGGTCAGGTTGCTCAAAGCTCCTTCCAACCTGACCTTGAAGAATTCCAATGATGGGGCATCCACAACTTCTCTGGACAACCTGCTCCAGTGGCTCAGCACCCTCATCATAAAGAATTTCTTCCTTACCTAATTCATTCTTCTGGAGAAGATTTGTACA